TCGGCAGCTGGCACCCTCTGACCATTATACAGTTCTGCGAACCGAGACAGCACGAGAATCATTGAGGCCCTTGGGTTTTAATTTGGAAGTCTTGGGAGAGACAGTGAGAAGATAGCCTTTGCTTCAGGTGTTACAATTAATAGTAGTTGAGCTTGAACTTGGTAGTTGTCTACAGAAGCCGGGGATTCAGCAAAGGAAGAAATGAGTAGCCAGGGTAGGTCAAGCTCAAGGTCAGAAACACCCTCAGAGGGTGTCTGAGCACAGACCTCACAGAATGTCAGGGGCAAAGGGAACCAAGACCCCTGGGTCTGCTGCCTGTGCAGTTTGGATTGGGGGCAGGGCCGAGCCAGAGGTCTGCTTTTCTCCACCATGTCTCCCCCTTCCCCGAGTTCCACTGTACATGTCTTACTTATTTTGTCTTTAAGACAAGAGGTCATTTCAAGAAAGAATTCTTTGACTAAAAAAAAAAAAAGGGGAGTGGGGACACTGGTATTGTCCAAGTTCTCATTTTACAAATGGGGAAGAAGAGGGGAGAGGGAAACTCCTTTCTGTACCCCAAGAAGTGACAAACAGGAAAAATATTAATTTAGAGAGAGAACAAACTTTCTAAGGAAAAATTCTGTAGAGATAGCATCACAAGATGAATTACCTCAAGAGTCTGTTTGAGAGATTGAGTCATGTCATGCAAGTTCTAGGGAGTTGGGCCTCTTCCTTCCGTGAGAGGATGGGAATGAAACACCAGCCCCTCGGCCCGACTCCCAGAAAGAAGAACCTCAGGCCGATGAGCAGTGAGCCTAACAATTTCATTTCCCCGCCACACTGGGCCCCACAGGAAATCTCAGAATTTCGCATCGGGACAAGGCCCCACAAGAATGTCGCTGCACCCACAGATTTGTGGTTCGGTGCCATTAGAGAATTTCCTCGGGAAAGTGTTCTGAGGGAGATTGCTCAGCAAGACAGAAAAATGCTGGAGCGGGGCCAGCAGATGCCTTCCCAGGACTCCTGGTGGACGTTTGGGTTTAAAATGCCTCCCGAGTTCATACAGCACAGCCCCTGGCAGCTCACAGCAGCCCTGTCACTGAACAGTTTGTTTCTCAGGGAGTTCTGACTTCAGCATGTGGAAATTGGGATGGTTTACTGTACAGTTTCGCAGGCCAGCCTGAGAAGGCGCAGGGCCTGTTCTGTTTGTGGCAGTAAGGCACTGATGTTTTAGACCCACGTATATCCAGAGGCAGAGGTTAGAGGGCGTTGCCAAAAACTGCAAACTGCTGTGAAGGAGGGCAGTCCGTTTCTGCCTTTGCTTCCTTTGGTGGATGTTCCTTGGTCATTCCAGTCGTCAGGGAGAACCAAAAAGGAGCAGTGTGCATACAGGTAAATCAGTGAGGCATCATTTCCCATAATAAACACACTTGCTCATCAGGTATTGTGCATTCCTACCTAGTATGTACCATTCATTCTTCTAGACACTGGGACTGTATCCACAAACAGAACAAAGTCCCGCCCTCGTCACCTTTTCTTGTAAGGGATGAGAGGCAGACAAATTCTGCTCCTGGTGGTGATAGGAGCTCTGGGGGCAAGTCGGGATGACAGCAGGGAGTATGGAGCTGCACGTAATTAAGGTCTTTCCCATAGGGTGGCACTGAAAGGCCCGAAGGAAGTGATGGCCATGCGGCTCTTTGGGGAAGAGAGTTCCTACTCAGGGCCAGAGGGCACGGGCCAGGCAGGAGCAGAGCAGGTGGACTGCAGAACAGCTGGAAGCTGGAGCTGGAGCTGGGTGAGGGAGAGGGAGTTGTGGGCAGAGAGGTCAGGGAATCGGCTGAGAACAAGACTGTGTGGCTTTGCCTTTTACTTTAGAATAAAACCCATTGGGTGGTTTTAAGTGTTAAAAGATGACTCTGGCCACTGTGGAGAAGAAACTGAAGGGGGGCAGGGTAAGGGGTAGAAGAGAGGAGACCACCTAACAAGGGTGCTCATTAAGGTGATTCTGGATATGTTTTGACGTAGTGTTAACAGGATTTGTTGGTTGATTGGATGTCAGATGTGACAACAGTCAAAGATGACACCGAAGTTTTTGTTTTCAGCAGTTGCAAGAACGGAGTTGTCATTTACAGAAATGGGGAAGGCTGAGGTCCACACAGTTTCTGGTTTGACTAAGTAGTTTTAGGAAGAAGCCGTGGAGATCTAAGGAGGAAAAAGTTTGATGTAATCATTGGTTCCTTAATTTTCTCCATTCTTTGGCAGCCTGCTTTGTATTTGGGTTACTTCTACCACAGTTTTGTGGCGGGGAGGGGGGGGAGAAGTATGGATCCTTACTCATGTCTGTGCAGTTCAGTGTGGTCGGAGGCAGTGTGTCCAGAAGAGCCTTGGGGTAGAGTCTGCCTCCAGGGATGTCCCTTATTTCAGGGGCTGTGTTGGTGTTCTAGGGCTGCATGACTAACTACCGTAAAGTGGGCGGTTTAAGGCAACAGAAATTTATTCTCTCACAGATCTGGAGGCCAGAAGTCCAAAATCGGTGTTGCAGAGCCCTGCTCCCTCCAAGGGGCCTATGGAAGAACCCTTCCTTTCCTCTTCCGAGCTTCTGGTGGTAGCTGACCATCCTTGGCCTCTCTTGGCTTATCAGTGCAGCCCTCCACTCTCTGCCTCCAGAGTATGATGAGTGGCATTCTCTCTGTGTGTTTGTGTGTCCCTTTGTCTTCATGTGGCCTTCTTATAAGGACACTAATTACTGTATTTAGGACCCAGCCTAATCCAGTATGATCTCATCTTGACTTGGTTACATCTTCAAAGACCCTGTTTCCAAATTAGGTTACATTCACTGTGAAAGGGGTCAGGACATCAACATACCTTTGTATGAGACACAGTTTTGGTCTGGGTTTGATTAGGAGGGTTTTTTGAGTTTGGATGTGTTTGAGGATGAGACGAGACCTGTTGAATTACAGTTAGAAAGCAGGTCCCTCTGTGCTAGGGATGCTCCATCTTTCGGGATGAAAAAATTAGTTTTCCTGTTTGGCAAGTTTAGTTAAACTGAAGATTTAAAAACAGAGACGTTAATTTTGCATTATTTTTTGAAACTTGAACACTTAGGACATGCAGTGGTAAAATCATGTAACTGGAAGTAGCAGACAGAAGGAATAGACCTTATAAAGACTTTTAAAGATAAGAACTACTTTGATTTTGATCTGAATTGATGAATTTGATTGTCTGGAGGCCTGGGCAGTAGGTAGAAAATCTCTTGCTAATGTTCCACGTTTGTGGTTTTGTCAGTTGGGGCAACAAGTTGGCAGCGATAGAATGTGCACACCCGGGACCTGGGGCCCGGAGCCCACGATGACGGCCCACTGCAGGAGTGCAGCCCGTCTGCTCCACCAGCCTTTTCCTTAGATTCCCACGGGGCCGGACGCTCTGTGGCATTCACTGTCTAGCGGCTGCTCCCCTTCCGTGTGGCACCCAGGCTGTGTACATTCTTCAGTGGTGTGTCAGGAGTTATTAGTATTTCTTTCTCTCTAACTCAGGGTGCTTCATCAAAGGAAGTGGAAGTTCCCACTCTGGGACCAGAGTGGTGGGACTCCGTAGGGTTCAGCGATGTGGGTAGACAGACTCCTTTAGCAACAGCACACGTCTGTGGCCGTCAGATTATGGCCACTGTTTCTGTGGGGCTCCTGTTTGTTAGGGCTTGTGTGCTGGTTGGACAGGTGGGAGATGGGTAAGAGATGTGACTCTTTCTTGTCTTCAGGAAATTTGAGAGAGAAGACAAACAGGAATTAGAGGTTCACACAAAAACTAATAACAATTTGCGGATGCCACAGCATTTGGCACCTAAAGGAAAGCGTCTCTAAATGTCTCACTTATTAGGTGTCTGGGCAGGGAGTGGAGAAGTTAAGAGGCACAGGGATATGTAGAGAGGTTTGGTGGTGCAGGCCTCAAGCTACAGAGGCCTTCATTTAGATTTTTACTGCAAGGCCTGTCAGACCAAGGCGCTCACCTGTCTTCTGCCCTGGCCTTGCCCTGGTTTCCCTGGGTCTCCTGGGCACCGTCGTGGTTGGCGTGAAGCCACAGCTGCATGTGTGAAGGGGAAGGTTTGAGACAAAGGCGCTGGCTGTGTCTGGGCTGTCTGGGCTGGGGCTCTGCATTGCTGGCCCCGGTGTGGCTCAGTCACGCACATCCTTGGAGGGGGTTATTCTGAGTGTTCTTCAAAAAGGAAGCCTTCATCTCATGTCTGTTAAGTGGGAATGCAGCCACAGCTGTGTCCTCAGGGCAGGTTCCAGTGGTGAAGCCACCATACTTCTGGGGTAACCACAGGGCAAATAATGTACAGACATCATTTCCTTTGACTAATCTTTTGTAATACTGGTCCAGATGTGGCTCCTGAAAGTAAAGTTCTTTGTTTAAGCTGAGACTTTAATTTAGTACCCAGATGGGGTAGGAGGTGAACTTCCAAAAGGCCCGTGTTACTCGGTGTGTCATTGTCCTGGACTCCCAGCAGGCGGCAGCTTCATTAGAAATGCAGATTTCATCGTGACTCACCTGCCTTGGTGAGATGTGCGATACAGCGTTTTAGGACTCACAGACCCTGTCGTCTCGCCGGACAGGGCAGGGGGTACGCCGTCTGTTTTGCTGCTGTGGCGGCTACAGAGCCTGGCCGGGAACATGGAAAACCTTGAGGGACAGTCTGCCCTGGGGCCGGAGCTCTGTCCTGGAATTTCCTGGCCTCTCTTTGGTGTGACTGCACGAACCCAGACGCCTGTGTTTAGAGTCTGCTTCCCTCTGGGGGTAGAGCGCTGCCGCCTTCCACAGGGCTCTGCTTTCTGTGCCAGGCAACCTCCTCCTCGTGGACCAGGGGCCCGGGGAGCACTTTGGGCAGGTGTGCGGGCCTGGCTCCCAGTCAACAATATGCTCCTGGGAGTCGCTGGTCACAGAGAAGCCGTGACCGTTGGGCATAAAAGTTGCATCTGCCAACCCAGCCCGTTCCCCCTGACATTTGTCTCTCTCTCATATTGCAGCAGAAAAAGTCCTACCTGGAGCGCAGTGTGAAGGAAGCCGAGGACAACATCCGGGAGATGCTCATGGCCCGGAGGGCACAGTAGGAATCCTCTGGGGGGCATTTCTCCCGCCGACCCCTCCCATTTCTGGCAAGGACGAGGGGCTCATGCAGGAAAATGGCCCCTGCCTTACCCTGATGGACATTTTATCTGGATGGTCTGTAACCCTGTGTTTCCTATCAAATCCCAACCCTGTGGGTTTTATCCCAGCTCTGCCTGCCACCCCTGCCTATGATACTCCCCTCCCTGTGGGGGTGAGTCATAAACTCCCAGGAGAGAGAAGATGGGAGCCAGGACGGATGGGGGCGCTCTGCCCACATCCCCTGCGAGTCATGCTGGACAGACCAATAAAAGGCCTCTGTGCCACTCTGCTAAGCCTTTTCTTGAGCTGATGGGTGAGAACAGGGAGGCAGAGGCTACCTCTCTCAGCTCCTCCCTGTCCCTCTTTGGGGCTGTGGCCCTGATCCTTCTCCATCGGAGCCTTCCCCTCTTTTCCCCTCTGATTATTCGAGTGAACTCCTTAAGCTCATAGCTGCCCTGGAATGTGCAGATCTGAGAAAAAGGAGACCAGAGCATAGCTGAATTTAAGTGAGCAGGACAGCAGTTCCTTGGTGGCAGCCTGCCTAAAGATTCCTTTCCTACTTCCTCCCAAACATTCGGAAAGAAAATCTAGTAATAAACCAGCAGCACCTCTGAGACCGTGTCCCTTTGGTCAGTGTCATAGACAGACACTGCAGTCCTGAGGCTGCCCACAGGCTCGGGGGCAGTGGTATCTTGGAGCTGGCTTCCATGGGCTCGGGAGAGTTACTCAAGTTTTAGGAATTTTGTTGCAAGCCATTTATAAAACACGGCCATTGTTAAAAATTAAATTATGTCATTTACGATGATTAAAGACCAAGGGTAGTAAGTATTCAGAACATACTCTTCCTAAGAACCAAGTCTGCCCGTGGTCCATTTTCGAGGTTAACGATCTGCTTGCCGGAGTGGGGGCTACACAGCAGGGCACTCCCGCAATTCTCTTTCCAACTCCATGTTCCTGGGACGTCATGGTAGCTTGAAATCAGCTGTGGCGGGACCATTTACTCCATAGACATTAGGTGATGCTCATGTCTATGAGCACAAACACAAACTCATGGCATTTTGTGTTTGTTCTTAAAGAGAGAGCTGGTTGTTAAAATATTTATAAGCACATCACCGCTCAGAGGGAAGGTGGGCAGGCAGAGGTAGGCCGGGAACTGCCACCTGTAGCCTCTTGGGGTTGGTCCAGCAGGCCCACGAGGGAAGCTGACTCGCTGCTACAGCAGCTCAGCGCCACCCTGTGGTCAAAGCCGAGATGGGTGTCCTGGCTGACTTGAATTATGACAGCTCTTCTCTCTCTCGGCTGTGTTGGGAGGCACAGCTTTGGGTTTAGCCTGCTCCCTGACTGTGGGCTCGTGCTCTCCTTCCTGGCAGGGACGCCCAGTTGGGAAGAGGCCCTTTCCTAGGCTCTGGGCAAAAGCAGGAATGGCTCACTGGCGAGCACGTCTTTGAGTGGGACTAGGGAAAGCATGCTAGCTTGGCCAGAGCCCCGTGACCCAGGTGACCCAGGTGACAGCCGTCCAGGCTCAGGACCTGCTTTCCTAATGACACCCACCCTCTCACAGCATCCAGAATGAAAAGGTGAACACTGGAGAGTGGCCCCAGGCAGGGTTTAAATTTTATCTGGAATAACTCAGACAGTTGAAGTTTAGACAAATTTATTGAAACGTAGAGGGTGTTAGCAGAGAAATCATTCAGTAATATGTTACATTATGCCACTATCTTGAATGTATAATTTAGAAATTATAAATATATATTTCACAACTAAGCCTTTGGCCAAAAACAAAAAGGAAGGTCATTTAGCACATTTGTGAAAGGCCATCAGGAAATGGATTTTGAACATTAGAAAGATCAAGTCACTGAATTAAACAGCAGCAACCCATGCTAATCTAGAATCCCACTGTGTCGAAGGTAGAAGTGTCTGTGCAGAGCTAGTCATTTATTTCAGCAATCAGAGGAGATGGAGGCGGGCACACCTGTTGGCGGTGGCCGCGGAGCTGGCAGGACGGCCGGGCCGGGCCGGTCAGGTGAGCATGTCCCAGAGACAGCAACAACAGAGAGCAGTCCAGCAGGCGGTGAGGCAGGTGGAGGGGCCCAGGTCATCCCTTCTTTGGTCTTCCACCACGTACACTGGAGCGGGGAGAGGGGAGGGTGAGAACGAAGCTGGCACAAACCCTGTGCCCCACAGAGCCCACGCGCCTCGGACCAGAGCGGGGCCGCGGCACAGAAAGCCACTGAGCAGACCTGTTGCCTTTCCACTTACTCCATTATGAGTGAGAGTGGAGGAAGGGTGGCTGAGGTCCTCAGCTACTCTCCCTCCTCCTCCTCCTCAGGACCCTTATGCCCTCAGGGACCAGCACTAAGGAACCCGTAGAGCCGCCCCTCGCCAAGCTGGCCGGAGTTGAGATAAGAAACATCCATTGCTGCCTGGCTGGCGCTGGCTGGCCCACCTTGGTTTATAAACCAAGCAGCATTCTGTCCTGTAGCCTATAGGGGGCTGGGGGACATTTCTTCACATACAGCCAAGCTGTCTCCCAAGAGTAAGAATAACCAAAATCTCCTAAAAGGGAGTTTTAGTCCCTGAAAGAATAACCAGGAATCTTAGTTTTTCATACCTGGGCAATGCGCGGTATCAGAATGTGTCCCACCTCCTAAGCCAGGGGCGTCAGACTCATTGTCACCAGGGGCCACATTAGCCTCGAGGTTGCTTTCAAAGGGCAGAATGTAATTTTAACTCCTTAACAGTTAGGGAGTAGTTACATTTATACAACCCTAAAATTATTTTGGCCCTTTGAAGGCAGCCTCAAGGCTGATGTGGCCCTTGGTGACAATGAGTTTGACGCCCCTGCCCTAAGCTGTCGCAGAGCAGTGGAAGGTGGGGGTGACACCCTGGCAGAGTGGGAGGGACGGCGCTGCCCGGGACACCTTTCTCTCAGAAGGGGCTGGAAACCTGAGCCCGTCACAATGTCTGAGTGCAGACCAGATCCACAGGCCAAGAAGGACCCTGATCTCCCTGTACTTGTCAGCTCACTCACAGCCAACACCAGGCTCTCCCCCCCCCCCCCACTGTAAGGACATCCTTAGAATGTCCTATGGTCAGCCTTGGCCTCACAGAGTCTGTGGCCACTTTCACGAAAATCTCAAAACCACCCACCATCGTCAAACTCAGTTATAGGCAGTAGGGTTTTAAACTTTTTGAAAGGTCATGAATACACGACTGTTACAAATTAAATCATTCTTTTGGCAATCTTCTTTAGTTCTGTTTTTGCGTATCTATTTTTCTACCTCCTCTGTTGATAACTTCCTCTCTCAGGAGCCTGGTATAGGAGCTAAAATACACCGAGCTAGTAGTTGCTCTCCCAAGTTCTCCCACCCTATCAGCTGCTCTCCACAGGGACCTCCCTTTCCCTTCTCTCTGGGCACACAGTGTCTCAGTCACTTTCATTCAGTCACAGCAACGCGGGCAAAGTTGTTCTGGGTCTGGGACATAAGAGCCCCCACCAGGAAAGCCTGGTCAGGGAGAAGACCACCTGTTCATTCTGAGGCCTGATGAGCAAGCATATCGCCTGATTCAGTCCTAACAATAACCCTGGGAAAGATATTACCATCTTTCCTATTTTACAGGTAAGGGGCTCTAGGCTTACAGAGGTTAAGTTTCTTGTTCAGTAAACAAGACTGGGTAGGAACAGGATCTGAGTCCAGGCCCAGCTGAAATAGAAGAGGGACCAGCAGTGAATGGGCTCAAGGACAGTCCTCTCTCTCACCAGCCAGAGCCCACCCTGTCCACTGAAGGCCAGGGCACTCCAGACCCTGGGGTCACTGTAGCAGGAAAGCCCCAGGCGGGGACTTGCCTAGATGACAAGCCCAAATCCCCAGCCTCTCCCCCGATCCAGGATGGGTAGCTCTGGACAGGGAAACGAAGGACACAATGGGCCAAGGAACCCCATGAATAACCCTTTCCTGTATCTTCCCTGCCAGAGCGCAGGCTCCACTGCCCCTGCCATACAGAAAGGCCACTCCCTTGCAGCTCCAAAAGGAACCTGCTTGATTCAGGCCTGAGACCCAGCCCAAGGTTAGGTTGCCACGTGAGAGTCCCTGCAGTTTCCCTTTAGCTACCACAGACTGTGGGGTGAGCCAGGACCTGTGGAAGGGCCTTCTGTGCACAGCGCTGTGACACAGGGCACAGGAATCGGGACACCCTCTCCTCTCTGCTTCTCCTTCTCCCAGGTCTTCCTCCTGTTAGAACCACTGGACCTCAGGCAGCCAAGAGAAACAAAAATGTCCCAGTCTCACTCCCTCCATTACTCTCCCCTTTAGTTCAGTTTGTCCTTGCCTGGGCGTATCTCACGTGACGTAGTCCGAACCCTGGGGCAGTGGGTACTTTGAGCTCATTACTTCCAGACAAGGCCTACAAAGATTAGAAATAATCAGTCTGGTTATAGAGCGGAGGACTTCAGACCAGAGGGCTGCGTCAGCCTTGACAGGGTGGCTGGTTGTACGCACTTCACAAGCCTGAGTCACTTATTTCCTGGTCTTCCAGAGCCATTAGGACTTTTTCTTTCCATTAGGTGAGGACAAAACCTCTGTCCCTAAACTGACAGCAAGATGGGGTGGAGGGACAGTATGGGGGGAGGGCTGGTTGGAGGTTAGAGCGACTTGCTCAGAGGAGGGCCTCACAGTTCCTCACAGCACCCACTGTGGGGCTCAGACACGACGTATTTTACAGCTGCCTCCATGCCTCCCCGACTGGGGGGCCTGAGGTTCTGCACCCCAGGAAGGTGCTGGCTGCACTGAGTTGCAGGGCCAAGTCGGGACCCAGTGGGTGAATCTGCCTGAGAGCTCCCACAGCCCCAGCCGGCCAGTCAGTACTCGGCCCCTGCTGCCTGAGCCCAGGGCCACCAACACCCTCCCTGGGGACTTGAAGCCAGGGGACCCACGTGCACTGAAGCTTCACTAGCAGGACTGCTTACCTAGCAGGAGCTGAGGCAGAGGTGATTCCAGTGCAGGTGTTCCCCACCCAGGCGGTGGGGGGCGGGGAGTTCCTGGCAACTGGCCTCTTCAGGCAAGGACATAAAAGGGGCAGAGCCATGGTTATGTAAGATATTAACCATTATGAGGAAGCTCCGTGAAGAGTATACAGAAACTCTATCATCTCTGCAACTCATATGTAAGTCTAAAGTTATTTCAGAATAAAAGGTTTTAAAAAGGAAGAAGGGGAGGGGTCAAAGAGCAGTGGGCCGGAGCGGGCACTTCTCTGCTAGGCAGTCAGGTAGGGGGAGAGGTTCTGGTGCCTGCAGCAGCTCCTCAGATTGAGCTCCTTGGAGATCAAGTGCCGCCCTGTGGCCAGAATGGGTACAGGCAGGGCCTAGCAGGGCTGACTGGTTTACACATTAGCGAAAACGCTAACCCTCCCATTCGCTGTCTCCAGTCTCAGTAGCCACCAAGACCACCTGTTCCGCTAGTACCAGACGCCTGTGCCCTTGCCCCAGGCAAGAAGGGACTGAAGGGGCTCTCTTCCCAGAAAGCTACAGTTGAGTTGGAGATCCAGGTCCAGGGGAAGCCTTCACTGGCTTGTCTGTTTCCCAGGAAGAGCCTTTGGCAACAAGCCTCAGCATTCT